TAGAAAGAGCAGGAGTAAAATGATTAAACGACTATAATTTACAGAATTCAATTGTGACTCATTGAAGAAAGACATTTCTTCAGTTGAAAAATGAGTGAACATTCAGACTCTGAAAATATGGATGCGCATTGTGCATTGCAGCAGAGGCCAACTTGTTTGGTGTGCAAAGAATGCTGTCTTTATTAGCCCAGCGCACAGAGCAGTGGTATGCAGGAGTCTCTTTTTGTGAGGCAGATTTTAGAAAGCCTTCTTTTGAGGGTGCACGCAGCTTCACAATCAGCTTGCTTGACTATAATGAGCCCCCTTGTGTGCGTCCATTTGTGCTTTGTTTTTGCTCTACCGACAGGACACTGGTGTTTCTATGTAACTCTGTCACGCAGCAAATCGGGTGTTGAGTTTTGCTGTTCATTGTCATGTGGCTTTTCAAACGTTGTCAACTCGGTCCTTCTCTCGCAGGGCTGTCGCGTCATCCGTGCGAGCACATGACAGCGATGGACTCCAAGCCAACAGACACTAACCGTGGTCGGCATCCCCACAACCACATTCCTCTTCACTAAGACCAGCTCCACAGAATGCTGAGTCCCATTGCCCCCTGTAGTGAGTATGCACCTTTTCTTTCTCCCTCACCATTTCGGCATGTGCGTCACAACAATCAACCGGCCGAGTCAGGATTTAGTTGGACTTTGAGCCCAAACCCCTGCCTACCCCCGAACTCTGCAATTCCAAAAGCAAACTGCCAGACAAGAGAAGATACATGGAGGCATTTCCCCAGGCGTGACCTCAATTTTTCATTGCATTCAGAAGAAGGAGGTGGATGGTTTTTAGCAGCCAAAACTCCTTTTGCTTCTTTGGACTTTGCACCACACACACACACTGCTCTCTTTTTTCTTGTCAATGCTGACCTAGTAACTGACATGTCCATTTTTGGCCTCGCCCCCGACCTCCTCATTTGACCCCCCCATTTCCCCCCCCCCAACCCCCCCCCCCACTACGCTTCATCTGAGTCGAAAACAGCATTGTTTGGCAGCCAGCATGGTGCTGCCTCAGCCTCCGCCGCTCCTCTTCTCCTTTAACTCACCTCAAAGGCACTTTATCAGCATGACAGTTATAAGACGAGGGAAAAATCAAACACAAGGGTTCATTTTCAAAGATTTGAAAATCACAGATTCAATAAATGTGACCAGATTGAGCATTGTTTGCATTAAAAAGGAATGCATAAGCAAGATTGCGGCGTGTGTGGGTGTGCAACTTGTACCAAGAAAAAGGCACGCTTGCCCCTGAAACAATTACGATAGTTCGTCAAAATTTCTTGAGGTTAGCAAAGCTCCTAATGAGCCTGAAAACATCTGTTTGCCGTGGAAAAGGGGATGCATGCTTGTGCTGCTTCCCATCAAGGCATTTTACTGGTTGTTCCATTAGCTCCTTGCAGCCTTTTAGACCATATTGACCCAAGACACTCCCTCGTGCTGAAGTGGACGCCAAGAAAAAGAATGTCACAAATGCAGGCGGAATTGCCTGCCGTGTTGGAAGACGCACTTCCTTATTGGGAACCTTCTGTTGTACTTCCTGCTAGTTCTTTGTTGTTGTCCAACTGCACCTTTGGTTTTTTTTTTTTTTGTTTGTTTTTTAATGACTGTATCAAGCAGCGCCATAGCACCTCTGCGGGGTGGGAATCGTTGCAGAACTGCTGCACGTGTGTGACAGAACACGCACAGCGGTGTTAGATAGTCACACTATTTACTCACACGCCAGTGACACACAAACGCAGCGCTGCGTTGGCTGATGACACCGCAACACACCGTCTTGGGCCGAAAAGACTGCAGTTGGGATTTTGCCAGCACAAATCGGACTGTGAGGGACTTGTGAAGAGTCTCACCTCAATGATGGAATTCCCTATTTGGGAATATTGAGCTTTCTTGTTTGTTGAAGCTGAATACTTCAAACTCATTTTTGCTCCTGCAGTGCTGCCGACGCAGTTGCTATTTTCGTGTGCGCTTGCAGTCTTGCTGGTCTGCGGCCACAGGACTTCAAGCTGTAGAGAGAAGGCTTCGGCTGGACCTGAGAAGAAACCCGAGAGAGATTCCAGCGGGCATAGATACTCCTGGAGGGATTTGGTGCAAAGAATCTGTAATCTGTACTTCAAACAAACTCTTAAATCAGTCCCAGGCCACCAACCCGTGAGTGCCCTCAATCTTGTTGTTCGGGGCCCCTGCTGATGTAGCGAGGCCTTTTCTTTTAAGAGCGCGTACAGGACAAACCGATTGGTTGTACAGTGCTGGCAGTTTTTATAACCCTCATCTGCCTGACATCACTACCTTCTCCCTTGCGCTCTCGTTTTTATGTATTTCTGCTAGTGGTTTTTTTTTTTCTGAATGAAGTGGCTTGCATTGAAGAAAGAAGCAGAAGATCTCACGCTGTACGGTCACGCCGGCGGCCATCACCATTGTGGGGCCGTGCGGCATGAGTGTTTGGTCGCAGGGCCTGTGGGGCCCTTGAGTAAACATATTAGTGTGGGTTGTGAATGGGCTCTAATTAGCCTCGAGTCTGCGTGCATGTGCGCGCATGCGCTTGTGTGCGCGGGCTCGCAAAAATAAGAGGTTAGGTCGTCCAGCGGCACTCTGCTCCCGCATTCGAAGGGTTCATCAGCTCATTAAGGAGACCCCTGCTCCTGTGAAGGGCCCCATTAAGAAGGCTCATTTGGAAAGCAACACTTAACTGGATTCCTGAGGCAGCAGTTTTCACAGCGTTCACGCTGCCGCAGATAATTAGTAAATAACCACGTTTGAGAAATAACGCCCTTGGATCACTGTTTTGCAGCAGTCAGAGGAACAAATCGTGTTTGTATCAACAAGAAACGGCTTCGGTGCAGGGTTGATGAAATGGGACCAGACAGGAGCCGAACATCGAACATGTTCAGCGGGCGGGAGATTTGGCGAGTGAGACAGATGGAAGGAGAGATTGGTCATCGCGGGGCTCGAGGACAGCTGCTCTTTGATATATTAGTGGACACAATGAGCCAGAGCCTGCCTGCAGTCACACAGAATAAGGACCCTGTTTTTCTTGAAGGGGAGGGGGCAGCGGACAGGCTGCTGTCGTTTGTAAACGTGTGTCAGCAGGCGAGGGGGATGGGGAGTTGTTTCTAAAATTACAAGCATGAAGTAACGCATCCAGCAATTATTCAGAAGGCTTTCTCGTTTTGGAGAGAGCTGTAAATGGAGTATGCTTGCAGATGGGAAGTTTTCTTTTTTCTCTCTCTCTCTTTTTACTGCACCGCCATTAGCAATTCTAAACAGGTTTGTCAATTAATCAATGTTTAGCAAATGCCATCGAGCAGTTTGGCTGCGGCCCCGCCCCAAATACTCTGCATAGCAACAAAAACTTTTCACAAGACACGACAATTTAAACTGGAGAGGATTTGAACACAGCTTCGTTTCTGTAGTATATTGTCATATTACATTGTATATCTCACTTGAATAACATTATGGCACAATCCTCATTTTGATTACCACCACAAATACAACCTTCTGGGTCGTCCTGGAAAGACTTACTTGAGATTTTATTCAAAATAAAGGTGTCAAGTATCCTGAAAAAAAAATACATACTTAATCCGGAAACCCACCCTTCAAAAGTTTTAAAAATGACACAATGAACAGCATGAACATATTTTCTCTGGAAATTAATGTACAGAAGGGGTGCCCATTAAGTTGATCACGAGGGATGTAGGGGGAAATGGAAAAAAAAAAAAAAGATTTGTGTGTCTGTGCGCATGTTATTAATCTTAGATATTTTTGTGTCAGTGTACAATGCCCCCAAAGCATCCTATCAGTTTCACTTTCACCAAAAAAAGTATTTAAAAACAAAACTAATAAAATGAAAAAAAGCCGGTCACCTTTAATTTACGGTGGCAGGTTTGTTTCCTGTAAAATTCACAGACGGCACAGGCAGAGAATGGGAATCTGGAGCGCCATAGGAAACATTTTAAAATGGTACACAAATGTACGACAGTTTCTGCACTTAAGAAGCTGCAAAAATGCGTCCCATGCCTCCACGTCAGGTCTCCACTCGGCAGCGATTGCATCAGCACAAACTCACAAATTCTTGTATCTACTTTATTTTTCTGGTTCGTTCATGTTAGGGTCCAATAAGGCTGTTGCTCATCATGGCATTTGTGTGTGTGTGCGCGTGTGTGTGTGTGCGTGCATGCGTGTGCATGGGTGCAGGTGCGCAAATGGGTCGATCGTGGGAGGTTGTTTGCTTGAAAAGTAGATCTTTGGTAAAAAAGAAAAAAAAGTTTGGACACCCCTACTGTAGAGAATTTGCCGAGTTGTACCTGTAATTCACTGTACAAAGGTTTCATATTTTATGTGAATTTTTATTTTATCCCAAGCTAAAAAGCACCGTTTTGTGTTGCAAGTGGAACGGGCAAACATCATAGTGAGGTACAGAAACCACATCGGTCATTACAATAATTTGGTGGAATTCAACAGCCACATAAAAGCCATGGTTTGTCTCAGCTCACCCATAAGGCCAAGTATAATATTTGTACTGCGCTGTGTACTCAGTGGCGGGCAGTGAGTTTCGGACCTGGGTCTTCAGCGGGTATTTAGTGACCTAATCCACTTCTTCATAATACCATCACGTAACAAAACAACAAACCACAACAACAAAAAATGGCCATGTTGTTACAAAACTGTTAAAAAAAACAAATTTGCAGATTCACAATTGACAGCAGTCTCCCTCCCATGTACCCTTCTCTGCCCGCGCGGAGAGCAAATTGGGCTTTTGATGATGTATACTGTACGTCGGATGTGTACGAATGAGCATACTGCAGCTGCATCGCATATGGATCTGATTTACATCCACATACGAAAGAGGCCAATGTAAAAACAAAACATGGTTATCTTTTTCTTCCAATACATCACCTCGACATCATCATATATACAGTGTGTGTGTGTGTGTGTGTGTGTGTGTGTGTGTGTGTGTGTATATATATATATATA